AATTCGAAAGGAACTGTTCTCTCTCCACCCGTATAAATCTGCCATAACAAGAGAGAAGACTTGAGAGTGTTGCTTGAATTAATAATTTATTTTAAAATCATTTAATCGCCTATACTGATTAATGAAACCACTTGAAAGTGAAATGTTAATCGTGTGAAACACGTTCACTGTTATTATACGTTGCAGTAATCATGTATTAAGTCTGTTTAATGTCATTCTATGAAAAAAAGAAGTAATACGTTCTCAGCTTATATATTCCGCTTAGCAAGATTTCAACATTTACGTACAAATCGCGTGGGAGTGGATCATCACCTTTTAAGCAGCTGTGCTACGTGGAATACGTAATCATCCTTGTTCACTCTCACACACGAAGGCTAATACGTCAATAAATTGATTACACGAGCGAAACTGCACGCCACTAATCCGGCTAACCAAATTAGGAGACGTGCATATACAATAGCATGGAACGGTGTTATTTGTCATATCTATAAATATCCGTTATCTTTTGCAATCGTGAGCGATCATGGATATGCCGATCCATGTCGACCGATAACGCAATTGATTTTAAAACTCTGGACACTGCGTAGATATCGCACATATAAACGATATTATACGCACAATTTTTACAAAGGTTATTGTTGTATGCGACATTTTAACGCAAGAGAATCCTCGCATACAAGTTATTCTTTTAGTTGCTAACAATATACCGTCCTTTTCTTCGTTAATATTTTCCGATTCTCAATGTTTAATATATAATACGTACGAGTATATACCAATATCATGACTTTAATCTGCAATGTAATTAATTTATAAAAATGTAAAAACAAAGGCTAATACTTTGTTTGTTAATTAAATGTAGATTCCATCATGCGGAGACTTTCACAGGAAACATATTAATATTGATAAGTATTATTACTTTCTTAATTAAGACTTAACGTGATAATATCATTAATACGAGATCTTTCTTCTTGTTCATTTCACAAAGTAGAATACTAATCGTCGCTTCATTATACTTTCTTTTTCTTATGAAATTTCTTGTGGAAAAAGGTCAAATCACTCGCAGGAGATCGTCGAAATCCTCTCGATACACATCGCCTGTTACCTTTCTCCGCTCACTGTAATTTACTATGCTCTCTTTTTATAAAATATGAGCCGTCAAATAGAAAATGCAATATACATAAATACAGACACGTGCACTCTTCCTGTCTCGTTTTCCTATATTTAGCGATTGCTTTTCCCAATGAACATTAGTATTTACAGATTTCAGTTATTTTAACAAATGCAAAATTTATATATAACATAAGTGAAAAATAAATTAAATAAAATATAACAATCTAAAAAAATTATGAAATTATAGAATCACCGTGCTCTTTCTTACTTATGGATTGCGATTGTAAAGTAAAAATAATAATCTTTTTATATTAAAAATTTCAAAGACTTTGCTTTATTATTTTAACTTATAAACCAGTCACTAAAATTTTTAAGAAAAAAATTTTTTAATATTATAAAAAAATATTTTTTATATAATTTGATCTAAAGAGGATAAGTGTAGAAGAAAATTAAGCATTATCTTTAAATTTATGTAAAAATAAGCAACAATTTTCTCTATGACATGGTAACATACACATCATTACTTGCATTATTACATCATTACTTGTGACACTTATATATTGTGTGCAAAAAAAATCGTCCTAGAGACCCACTTTGTCGTAATGCGGATACGGAAGAGAAAAAAACGTAAGATGTGAGAATGTCCCTAATCGGGTGATCATAATTACACTCTACGTATTGTTTTAAATCGCGACTGCATGTACGAAATCGCGAAAGATAAATGAGCAAACGCAATCGTGTCTTCCGGCTTGACATGAGAAGGATTTTTAGCAGCACACAAAAGGCATTATTCTAATTAGGCCACGTCGGCGAGAAATTAAAGAAAACACACTTCGAGCAGCAGAGCGATTCGAGCGTCGTTATTTTCCAAGCGTTTTCTAAAATCTCGCGAAAGAAAATTCTCTTTTTTTTTTGAGGATCTCGTTTTCAGCAACTATTTGCTATTCACGGGAAAGACAATTTTGCCTTCGGCGATGGGGCTATGCCGGGCATACCGGCAACGATACATCCGAGACTCCGCCTGTCGGCTTGCCTTATATTCCGTATATATCGCCCATGAGGCAACAACGTGCCTCTTGAGATCAGTATGACTGTCGGTGTGTACGGATACGACGTCAGTATGGAAATAAAGCACTTCCGAGCTCCGCGAAAAATGCATACGTTCCCGCTGGCTAACCCTTGAAACCTTCCTTCGAGATCCCTTACAATCCCTCCTCGTCACCAGCTTGTCCCGAAAAACCGGCAACTCCACGCGATACGGCGTACGATTAGAACTACACGAGAAGGAAGTCGTTACGCGCCTTCGAGATCACCTAAGGGCTGATAAAATTCACTTCGTCTTTGTAGACATCAACTTTTTTTCCTCGCAACAAATTCTAATGTCTTATGCAGGTTCGATGAATTTTAACAAGCTCCGGAAATTATCATCACCGGCTAAATATATTCATTTTTCTAATATCTACTATATAATCTATTTAACGTAAAACGAGATAATTTGATTATATTCGTGATATTGTCTTTCCAATTTTATAAAAAAATATATTTTTTTATAAAATATATATTTTTTCCTCTTTCTTTAAGCGAAAATATAATTATTTTATTTATTACGCAAATATATATTATAGAAAGAGAGACATAATAATTTTCTAACTTAAGTATTTTAATTGAAACTATGTCTAACGTAATATATTATTTAAAAGCAGTAACTTATTATTATAAATAGTTTAAAGTCTAACAGTACAAAATTTTTTCAGAAATATTTACTTAATATTTAAATGTTCGAAATTAGTTACGTTAACATCGCACATTTTGAAAAACCAACAAAATATAATACTAAAATTACGTCTTACGTTATCGTCAATTAGTTTACTCAACCCACTGGTTTAACGCGAGCAAGCTTCTCTTTATAGCGGGAAACGTGCGAATATTCTCATAGCTTCAGTTTCAGATTGCACAGGAAGTTTCATGATCGTATTGTCTAGTAACACGAAGCAGCAGGTAATGAAGAGGAAGAGAAGAAACGCGCAACGGAACGACGTAGATAGTGAGAAAAGAAGCTGGTGAACACGGCGAATGGATTCGCGTGGAAAATCTACGCGTAACGATTTTAAACGCGAGAAACTGGGTGCTAACCATTTCTAACCAAAGACGAAGCGATAGCGTTTCATTTACATAACCGTAATTCTACTTAGTGGCGGATACCTAATTCCCTCATACGTTTCCGTTCCTCCGCCGTGCTAGAATCCGCGGTATTTAGGCGACCGCCGATTTAGCCGAGTACTTTCTCGAGACAAACACTTTCAAATGTGCAAACTTGTAATCCACATTACGGTGGGCCAATCTCTGCAAATGGACTCGAAAACAACGTGTGTTCCTGTAATATCCCGTGCTGCTAATGCCAATATTTACGACTGATCTTGGTGTAGAGCATAATTGTAAATAGAGAGTAAATTACTTAACACTATAACGACAGAGAAAGAAAACGTTTATTACACAAGAATTGCAATTGCAGCTTTTATTGTCACATTCATCAGGTCCAACTCTATCTCACATAATAAATAAGATTAGGATGAAGATAAAGATGGGAGTAGTAATAAACGTTAAGCTCTATTTACAAAGTATCCGTATATTTACATGAGGAGCATATGTAATTAAGAGTACAGGCTAATAAGATCGTTATATCCGGCGAGTGATCACAATTGATTGCTCATCGGATATAATAAAGGCTCTGCGTGTATGAAATATAAATTAAAGCCCTAGTAAAAAGTATATAAATTAAAGTTCTAAAAAAAAAAGGTGGATGTGGGTTAGGAGCAAATGGATGCGTTTTATGGCTTGGCAGTATCGTCACTGCGTACTTTGTAACAATGAGCGTCTCTTAAAACTATACGCTCTACTTATTTTACGTATCTGCAATACACCAAGTTATGCATAACCGTTTGCCAGGCGAAAGGGCATAAAAATGCAAGAACTTTAAGATTATGCCACACTCGGGATTTTAACGGTGCGCTTTCACGACAGGCGCTCATTTTCAACTTACGCGCAGAACTGCGAATCCTGAGTCGCATAAAAGTCGTTAATACGCGAGCGGCGGAAGGAAATAAACGTACATCGCTCGCGTTCTCTCGTGCCCGATAGTAATCGACGTTTCGAGGTTGCTCCGCGTTTCCGCCGTGCACGGCCCTAAGCGCGTGCACGGCATGTGTGTATTTCTTCGCACGCACCTAACAGCGGACTAGACGGTAATAGGTCCGCATCCACCGATTATCGTCACAAAGGCATGCAAAACCAAGCGGTACGCACTTGCACGCCCGCAGAGACGAGCAATGCGTTTCACTCGGAACGAGATTCTCATAGGAACCGGGCGCTGTTCTGCCGGGTCGTTAAATGAGGTTCTGAACTTTCACCTCGGTGAAGGCTAAAGCCGCGAAAGATACGAGGCCGTCGATCAGCCTCTACCAACGACCAAGTGACTTTACGCGGGTATCGCTAGCTCTAGACCTCGCGCGAGAGCGGTGCCGTAACCTATTGACCTACATCAAGTGTTAATAAATGTCGCGTAATGCGCCTCGTACCGCGCTTAACGTTTTCATGCATTGTGCGAGAGCAGCGAATGCCAGACTTCGCCACCTCCACCGAATCGGATCGAAGGCGGTGGCATTATCGATATGATCCGACACGAAAATCTTGTTCGATATTAAATAACTCCCTCGTTCTCGGAAGAACTATCGAGTCAACGAAATTTCCATGGACGAGGATAAGATAAGCCGCTGACGCGAGGACACGGAAAAGTCGGAGCGTTCTGGATCCTCGGTCGGATCTCAGCAAACGTTTGACCTGATAAAGGGGATCAGGATTCCATGGACGTGAAATCTTCTCGCGCGATAAAAATGCCGTTGATACCCGCGCCTCTTCCCACAATCGCTCCCGTAATCCTGGTGAGAGGCGAGAAATTCTTGAGCAAGCGGACGATTTGTCTAATAAGACGTTATCGATACTGGCCAACAAATAATTATGACTTTCACTCGCAGTGCTTGCGTGAAAATAAGATAAAAAGGATTGCATAAACTTTCGTTTGATGCCCGCGCACTTCATACCTTCTAATCTCGGTTTTCACTTGATCAAGTATTTTTAGGGCTTTCACGTTTTCTCAGCGTGTTGCTATCAAAAATTACGCAATCTCTTGGCACGAATCATTTTTAGAAATTAAGTAATCAAACGAGTTACAGGAAAGTTTCAACATTAACTTGCAAAGTATCTATTTATCGCAACCTTTTTAGGAATAGAAATCCTATGTATTAACGTATGATCGTGCTTGTCATTGTACATCTGAGAAAACCACATACCATGGAACTTGCAGCGCCAGAACGTTACACGTCCTTATTTCAATATACAAGAAACATTTTAAATTGTGTCGCGAGCGACACGAAATGCTGACATTTTACCGACATATTCGTTAATCAAGCAAAGAAAGTAAACGGCATCGCGTTAGCAGCGGTATCTTCTCTCTCGTTGGAAATGGAAATCGACAAATCTCTGCAAAGAGAATTGGGGCGATTGAAGCTATTATTAAGAATACTATAAATTACTTTCACAAAGGCACTTATGAATTAATTTACGAGGATATTGTTTTATTGCTGTTATGCTCGTTTCCCGTCGTGGCCAGCGTCTCGTTTTTCGACACTGATCTAATCTCTTTTCTCGATTCTCCGAATTTAGTGTTGAAGAACAAAGCAACCGATTGATTTTTCGAATAATCCTTATCCTCGTTGCTATCGCTAATTTTCTCGACTCGATCTTGTAATCCGTTATCCTGCGCTTGGCTGTCTACGGTGATAAAGTGACCATTAGTACTCTGCGGCACGTCAGGACCGAAAACTTTATCCAATTGCTGAGCCTGAGGTAGACCTTGAAGTTGTATAGGACCACTTTCCGGCTGCTCTATAGCAGCCAGTATGTCCTGAAGAAGACCATTGGACAACACTTGGTCGTGTCTGATACTACCATCCGAGTTCTCGGTGCCCAGCCCACCATCCGCTGGTTGTATCTGCAGTCTGTAAGTGCCCTTGGAACCCTGAATTTCAAAGCCATCGGCATTGTCAGCGGTCAGTCTCTGAGCCAGAGCCAATGCCTCGCTACCCTCGCTCGATTTCAAAAATTGACTAGCGTCCACTTCACTCGAGCCTATACTCTTTTGTTGGCCGAAGCTCTGCGCGGTCAGACTTGCGGTGAGCGCTTCAGCCGAGATTTCTGAGCCCTGTTCGAACAACGCTGCCGCGGGATAGACGCTGTTAGACTGACTAGGCAAACGCCCGGAGAGCTCGTTCGAAACGTCTGCGACAGATGTGTGAACGGCCCTGGTGTCACTCGCTTCGTTGGATGAATCATAAGTGAGACCTACTGGATTACCGTAGCTGTCTTTCAAATTGATCTTCTGTTGTTCGTTATGTTGTAAATCCAGTGTATTCAATGAGGGCCCTCCCAGAAAATCGCCAAGCGGTTTTGTAAGCGGCAGTGCGTTATCTGCAAAAATGGAATTTTGATTGTTGGTATCGGACAAATCGGTTCCCGTGAAAACTGGATTGTGAATGTCCGCGTTTCCCGCGGAAGTTGCTGCATTTCCAAAACCGAGTTGCAGCTTGCCACTAGAATGCGCGGGTAATCCACCACCTAACGATAGCCCCTCGCTCGAGGGCACTTCACCACCTGAAGATAAGCCTCCACTCAAGTGTTGCTCTCCGCTGGAATGCAATTCTCCGCCTGAAGGTAAACTACCGCTTAAAGGTAGTTCTCCGGTTGCGGACAATCCCGTACTTGAATGCAACGCTCCGTTCACGGGCAAGAGTGGCTGCAAGGAATTGCAGTCGTAACCGCCGCCGATTGATAATGGCGCGTTTACCACAGGTGTGCCGTATGTCGTTGTCAGCGTATTACCAATGCCGCTGTACAGGTTATTGTTATACCCGGGCGTTAAGGTGAAAGAAGTCGGCGGGCCAAAGTTAGGTGCTCCATAAGTTAAGTGCGGCGTTGGCGTATTGAAATCGTTGAACGATAATGGAATGCCATATTGAACGTGAGGCGCGGCAATTGGAGAATTGTGTACGTTAAACGACCCGGCAGGGCCCGAAAACAGATTGTTCGATCCCGATGTATGGCGGAAAGATACTGGCACGTGAAGATTCGGTAACTGCTGTTTTGCAGGCGGCGGCAAATATCGATTAATATTCGACAGCAGTCCCGTTGGTATTGGTTCCCTGAATTTAATCGGCTCCCGATTTCGCGGTGGTATCAAAGAGCCGATGGGAAACGGCGGTGGCCTGAATGGACCATGAAGTCGGTGAGAATGCAGGTTTTGCCTGTGGAAAGAGCCTCCAAATATTCCGAATGATGAAAACAACGGACCACGTCCTCCATGAGCCGCGGGGTAAGGACCATTCGGCGAGTAAGAGGAGAGAGGTGGCGCGCCATAAGAATTAAAAGGTGGAGGAGAAAGTAGAGGCACTCCTGATAGATGATCGGCGGGGTTTCCAAAAGTAGCGGTTGCCAAAGGCGGACCGTAATCGCTCGCCGGCGTCAGCTTCGGCAGCTCCAAGGACAGGTCATTCTCTACATTTTGAAATCCGTGAGAATCTCCGCCGTTGCTTAGAGCATCGGCGTGGAACCCGCCATTGTCAGATGTCAACTCTAATCCCGAATGATGCGGAGCGGAATTGGCATTGACCGAATTCGAAATGTGATTTAACGATGAGACGTCAGTGGCACCACCTGACAATGGTAAGCCTGAGATATCCGCGTTCAAGGCGCCAGTTGTAGGCAACAGTTCAAAGCCCACTGTCTTTACGATGGACAAGGGCTCGATGTTTGGTGCTCCGTACTGCAAGTTCAATTGCTGTCGACCGAACTGATGGTCGGATTGACTAGTCGTAGTTACGGCGCCCGGACCTTGATTGTTGTGCAGAGGTTCGTTCTGCGGCAACGGCGGCGGCGGTAATCCATTATTCTCCGAGGAAGCCGAGGACTCGTGCACGGACGTCTTCAGGTCTTGGTCGTCAGGATTTTGCAACGGCACGCCGTAAGAATCGCTGGGCACATTCGAATCGGCGCTCAATTGAGCGTGAGACAATTGCGACGAACTCTCGACGTAATTATGCTTCGCGTCGACGAGAGGAGGACCATACGTATCTGTCGGAGGACTTTGATTAGGGGCGGTGGCCCATGCCGCGATGGGCTGCCATCCATCGTACTTTATGTCAGGCGGTGTGGGTGGCGCTGGAACTCCTGGCGGAGGCGCTGGCGGTGGAGGTCCGTATAAATCACCAGCTGGTGGACCGTATTGCGGTTGCGGCGCAGATACGGGCGGCGGCGGTGGACCGTACTCGTCATTGGGCAGAGGATTAAACTGAATAGCTAATTTCGGAGGTGGCGGACCGTAAGTCTGCAGCGATATAGGAATAGGTGGTCCGTGACCTGGCTTAGGCGGTATATATTGCTGACTTGATGTAGCGACGAGCTTCAATGGTGGACCGTACTGAGGTTTCGGTGATCTGAACGACGGAAATGGAACCAACGGCGGCGTAAAGTGTTGTTTCGGTAGCCCGTAATGAAGTTTCGGCGGCCCGTAAATAGGCTTGGAAAAGAGGGAAGACGTTGCCAGGCCAAAATTTGGCTTCGGCGGCCCATATTGAGGCTTGACACTTAGCGGCGGCCCGTAGGAGATGGCCAATGGCCCAAATGCAGGCGGTGGCAATTCTGGCGGCGGCGGTGGATAAATAGGCGTCGGTCCAAGATTGCCGACTAATTCCGGAGGCCCGTATACCGGCGCGGGTCCTTTGAAACCAGACCCCAACGGTGGTCCATATTCGTCAGATGGAGAACCGAAAGTATTACTTATTCTGTCATCGGCTTTAACCTTGGTGGTTTTCTCCTCTTCCTTGGTTAACGGTACCTGCGAGGTCGCCTTGTTGACTACCGCTTGTACGTGATGTCCAATTAACAGGACGCAGAACAGTGCGAATAACATCTAAAAGCAGAACAGGATGACTAGAATCGGAGAAAGTGTCGGCTTCACGGCTATTGCGATTAAATTTGTTTCTTTATTTTCCACACTAATTGTCTACTATTACACTGAAAATAAACTCGTAGGATAATATAACTTATGTAAAGATAATAATACGTTGCGCTCTCAACATCTTGGAAGATTTAACTGCCGCAAAAACGTTACTATATTTCGTAATAAAACTAACATAATGTTACTTTTGTTTCATTAGTATTTTCCTTTTTTAATTTTACCTATATTAAATTATGTGGCTATATTTTGTATAACTATTGAATACAAAATATAAATGTAAATTAACAAAATAGCAATTACTTAAATATCGCAAATAAAAAAAATTCAGTTATTGTAACCGTTAATCGTCCATGTTTGCGCCTTAACTTTTAATTTTTTCATATGTGTTATATAATAAAACGTCAGACTATCAGAGTATACTGTGTAGATAAGCATTACATTATAAGATTATACCTTTGTTATAAACGTTATTATCGAAAATGAAAGCAAAATAATTACGTCTTGCACGTATCCATTCAAGCATCCGAAGCGCCGTACTATACGTGTTCTAATTAGTTCGTTGGGCGCTTAAGAATAGTTTCGCACAACATATGAAGATCACCCATGCCCGCTATTGTGTAGTAGCTATATTGGAGGCCGTGAGAACTCCTGTGTTATTCGCTTAAGCCCGGGAAGTCATCTCAACGTATGTGAAAATTATGTAAAGCCACGTTTACACATTCTGGGCATTAGGGAAGGGTGCACGTGAGTGAATAATTACGTCAATTGTAAGCGAAATGGTAGGTGTTGCATGAAGACGAATTACGAAAAATGAATAGATGAGGCTTCTTTTGAGGTGCTAACTTTGTCTATTTTTAGCACAAAGCGTGGCAATTTTTAGAACAAAGAACTGCTATTTATACGGTTGTGAATTTTGAAAAAAGAATTCATAACTGCATGGTGTTTCGTAAACACAGTAGAGAACTATTACCAAGAGCTATTTACTTGATCGTTCCTAATTGTTAATGATTGACTAATGTCTTCTTCCCATGACATATAAGACTAAAATGCGCAAAATTTGTGCATATATTTTCGTCATAAATGTCTGTTGCAAAAGAAGCTATTATTCATAAAACATGTTAGCTGTAGTAATAGACATTAAATTACTGTTACACTAATAAACGATGTTAGCCACAATACAATTTCGAAGTTCTTATAACACGATATACAAAACAAAGTTAATTGAATTAAGTAAATTGAATTAAATAATTGGATAGCATTAAATACATACGTATCTTTAAACTTATTTTAATCGAAAAACTACGCTTATAATTACAATTTAAGTAAGTAATTTGCATCGTGTCATTTCGCTGTAGCAAATACTGTGACAAATTATATATAAAACGATTTTCTACGGTAGTTAGTCACAATGGCATTTTTATGTTTCTTCTAGAAAATATTAGACCGATGAGAAGAAGTGGTGAGAACGTAGAAGCTCACCGTCTGTCAATGCCGGCAAGAAACCATTGGCTTCTTTTAAGTGGCACGATGGCCGAGATGCAAGGCTAACATAATCAACCGTACTTTCTCCAAAGACCACGGGAAATGTTTGCAACCCGGCAACGTACTACAATGATTGCACTTTCAGATAATTGCATTTTTAACGATACTTGTATATGCAGTCTCGTTTTTTTATCGCGGCATTTCATTATTTATCCCCAAAACGTGATTTTCTTAATCAGCCCAAAACTTAAGAATTAAAATTGAAGAAAAGTATAAGAAAACAGAAATATATAGTACGTATAAGTAATTGCACTTTTTAATAGACTTACAACGACTTTTACCTAGCTCTTTAGATTTATTATATTATATTATTATACGCTTCGGTTAATAATCGTTCGCTTGTAAAAAATTATAACAATTATAATTGTACATACTACACGCGACAAATTTTCAATATAATGTGTAGTCTATTCTAAATTTTTCCATCAACACAATTCTGCAACAATAAAAAAATAATTAAAAATAATTTTATTGATAGTATTATAACAAGCACTTTGTATTAAATAGTTTTTAATTTCTCCCAGTTTCCACTTAATTTTCATCAATTTATTAAAAAGATCTACTTGCTCAATGTATATAATCTTGAGAAATAATTTGATCACATAATAAATTTAAGTGCACAAATTTAAAGTCAATAATCAACGAAACTTTTCATTTTTTTGTAATTTAATCTACTATCATCAAAATAAAAGATAATTGTTTGATTAGGCTAATACAATAGATATACAACTTACAAGACAGCGTACGTACACGCGATCCATCAATGCGAACGAGGTCACCAAAAGAAAGTTTCAATGAACCGAGATATGTTTGTCCGAAATGTATTTTCATGTTTCTTAAATTAAATTATTATATACATCAGATATAAAAATTGTTTAGTTATCAACTATATTGAATAGTAAATTTATGTTGTAGCTGTAATTTGTTACGACAATCTAAAGAGTTGGTAAAATTGCATGTGAATAAAAAATACAATTATTTTTTTATTTATATGTGCAATATCTTTGTTTCCTTATACTTTTCTTCAGCTTTAAAAGTTTCACTCCTTATACTTTGCTCTTCTATAGAACGTCATTATCGAGTGCTCGATAGAGCGACCCAACAGCATATTGCATGCAAAAAAACACAAATAAAAATAATGATATCTGTAAGAACATATTGAATCGGAATCTAAATTGTTGTAATTTATACGTCTACTATAATCACAACCAACGATTACGTGTACCTACACTTAATCAAGAGAAAAATGCAGTCTCTCTAATAGAAAAAAATTGACATTTGTTTCACTTCCTGTCGTGGAAAGAATCACTTTTATACCTGAATTACTTTTTTGCATGCGGATACACTTTTTACTGCCCGTATGGAAACGCGTGTATCTCACGCGGACTCTCGTTTTCACGCACATTGTGATACATGTGGGTGCAACGTCCTATATTCTTTAACTAGTACAATTATCTTTTATTTAATTCTTCATTTAACTCTGACACTTTCTATTGTACATTATATGCAAAAGTTCCTCGGAAACTTGGAGAAAAGGGATCAATTTGTTCGGCAAAGAATTGGATTTGATCAGTACTTTAGATTAGTCGTTAGCGGACACCGATAAGAAACTGCCAATTAGTTAATTTCTGGTTAAAAATAGTCGCAGTATAATCATCGGCAATGCGTACGCCTAAGATCCCTATCGTGCACTGCTTTCAGATTGCGCCCTCCCTTATTAGTACGGAAATTTATTCACATCGGAGGTGTAACGCTATTTCAGTCGTAGAGATTTCTGCACACTAAAGTGTTCTGTTCTTTCTTTTGTTCCTTGATAAGACTGACGCAGTATACATATCTAGAAAGTCTATCTACGTATATACATATATCTAAAAAGTCGATCAATCGAAATACAAAAAAAATAATGCTTGTTTTGTAGAATATATATACAGGGTGTCCTAAAACCACCGGAGGTCCTCTTAATGACAGATTCCTTAGAACATTTCCAGACGAAAATCCTAATACAAAAGTGTCGAGGCTATAATAGTTTTTAAATTAGAAGCGATTATTTTCCACAAATGATAGGGCTGAAATTTCGCGCGCTCAGGAACGGCGAAATGACAAGTGATATAAGTGCTCCTATGAATATCGTTCTTTTTATATCACTTGTCATTACGGCGTTGCGGAGCGCGCGAAATTTCAG